TTTTTCAAAGAACCAACTTTTTGTTTTATTAATCTTTCATATAGTTTCCCTGTTTCCAATTTCATTTAGTTCTGATTTGATCTTATTAATTTCCCTTCTTCTGCTGGGTTTGGGGTTGGTCTGTTCTTCTTTTTTCAGTTCTTTGAGTCACTTCATTAGATTGTCTGTTTGTGATCTTCTTGACTTTTTGATATAGGCATTTATGGAAGTAAACTTTCCTCTTAGGACTGCTTTGGCTGTGTCCCAGATTTTGATAACTTGTGTCACCTTTGTCATTTAGTTCAAAGAATCTTTTGATTTCCATCTTTATTTCCTCGTTTATGAAGGAATCATTCAGCAGAAGGTTGTTTAATCTCCATGACTTTGTGTAGAGGTGAGAGTTTCTGTTAGGGTTGATTTCTATTTTTATTCCACTGTGATCTGATAAGATGCATGGTATAATTTCTACTTTTTAAAATTTTTTGAGACATTCTTTTTTCCTAGAATATGGTCAATCTTAGAGAATGTCCCATGAGCTGATGAGAAGAACGTATATTCAGTGGTTTTGGGGTAGAATGTCCTGTAAATATCAGTCAGGCTCATTTGTTCTAGACTTCTGTTTAAGTCCATTATTGCTTTGTTAATTTTCTGTTTGGAGGATCTGTCTTGTGCTGTCAGTGGGGTGTTAAAGTCTCTGATTATTATGGTGTTGCTGTTAATCAATTTGTTTAGATCAAGTAAAGTTTGCTTTATGAATCTGGGTGCACCCAAGTTGGGTGCATACATATTTAGAATTGGTATGTCTTCTTGTTGAACTGTACCCTTCACCATTATATAGTGGCCCTCTTTGTCTTTCATTACTTTTGTTGATTTAAAAACTAACTTATCTGAGATCAAACTGCCACGCCAGCCTTCTTTTGGCTTCCATTTGCTTGAAATATTGACTTCCACCCCTTTACCTTGAGTCTAAATGCATCCTTGCAGGTTAGATGCGTTTCCTGAAAACAGCAGATACTTGGCTTGTATTTTCTTATCCATTCAGCCAGCCTATGTCTCTTGAGAGGGGAGTTCGAGCCATTCACATTTATTGAAAGAACAGATAAGTGGGGTAAATTGCCATTCATTCTGTTGAGTTGCATTTTGTTGCTTTGTTTTCTCTCTTGAGCCATTGTGGAATCTAGCCTTTGGTCTTTAGCTTTTGAGTGGTTTTACATTCGTGAGTGTTTATTGTGCTGATCCTTGTGTAATTCTGTTTTGAGTACTTCTTGGAGAGCTAGTCTTGTCTTGGTGAATTCCCTCATTCTTTGTTTATCTGAGAATGTCTTTATTTCTCCTTCATATATGAAACTTAGTTTTGCAGGGTACAAGATTCTAGGCTGGGCATTATTCTGTTTCAGAAGAGTGAGAACGGGGCCCCAGTCTCTTCTTGCTTGTAGGGTTTCAGTTGAGAAGTCTGGAGTTATTCCGATAGGCTTTCCTTTGTATGTTACTTGTTTCTTTCACCTTACAGCTTGTAGAAGGGCCTCTTTAGTGGATATTTTGGTCAATCTTATGACTGCATGTCATGGTGTCTTCCTATTTGCATTGAATCTCCCTGAGGTCCGTTGAGCTTCTTGTACCTGTATATCTAGATTTTTAGCAAGGCCTGGGAAATTCTCCTCTATTAAATCTTCAAATAGCTTATCCAGCCCTTGCATGTTTTCTTCTTCACCTTCCAGAATCCCTATCACCCTCAGGTTTGGTTTTTTCACATAATCCCACATTTCTTGTAGGCTCATTTCTTTTTTCTTTATTTTCTGCTCAATCTCTGTGACTGACTTATTCAATTGGAAGGAGCTGTCTTCAATCTCTGAGATTCTTTCTTTTGTTTGATCTACCCTATTCTTGAGGTTTTCCACTGTGTTTTGTAGTTCCCTGAATAAGTCCTTCATTTTCAGGAGGTCGGTTTGATTTTTCTTTAATATTTCAATTTCTTTAGTGAATTTTTCTTCCAAGTCCTGGATTGTTTTTTTGTGTGTGTGGTTTCTTTGTGTTAGTTATCCATTTTTTCTTGTATATCATCGACTTACAATCCATGTTTTGAATTCTTCTTCTGTCATTTTAGTATTCTGGACTTGGTTAATGTTCATTGCTAGATAGCTGGTGTTCCTCTTTGGGGGTGTGCTTTCCATTTGATTTTTCATACTTCCAGAGATCTTTCGCTGGGTCCTTCCAATCTGGATCAGCTGTTACTTCTCCTCTTTCAATTTTCGTTTGGAAAGTAACATGTCATGTGTGTTTTCTGCTTCAGTAGATGTGTTAGTGAGTCAGATCGCAGGTGCTGCCTATTAGTCTGGATGCGTGGACTTCTATGATTACTTGATCTGCCACTAGAGGGAGCCACTAGTATGTTGTTCAGGGTTCTTCTACCACAGCTGGGAGGCTGCTCCTGATGGGAGGGGTTACTTGGGGGACTTGTTTTGATCTCTTGCCACGATTTTTGTTCCCTAACCACAGACCTCGCTGTTGGTAGCTGACCAGAGGCGGAAATCCAGCCCCAGAGATGCGATGCTACTGGATGACCTAAATCGGTCTGGCGAGGAAAGTCACTGGGCTGTTAGCTATTGGTCAGCGCCACAGCCCCAGAGACTGAAACTTGTCACAGAGGAAAAGTGGCTCTTTATGTCTCGCTGCCGCAACCCCATAGGTGGAGCCTACCACTTTCCCCACGAAAGATGCTGGCTAGGGGGAGGGGGCACTGCCCCAGTTCTCCCAGCGCCCCAGCGCCTGTAAGTCCTGCAGGTGTTAGCCTCCCACAACCGAGGAAGTATTCAGAATTCGCCCGTCAAAAACAGGCCTGGCTGGTTGACTTTAGGTCCTGCAAGGGCAGAGCTTGTTGCAAAATTTCCTGGGCTGAGGGAAGGGAGCTGCCCCACACCATGTCGCACCGCAGCCCCAGTGTTGTGGGTTCCAAGAATGGCATCTCCCAGCCACAGGGCACCAGCACTGGAGGCGACCGTTCAGGGGAGGCGACCGTTCAGGGGCTGGCAGGTGCCAGATCAGGGAGCCGAGTCATCAGCGTGCCCAGTTGTCTCTTTTATGTCACCCTCCCCCAATTTGACGCCTGTCCAGCAGGAGTTCTTTCTCTTTCTGACCCACCCTAAGCAGTCCTAATCACCGGTGGTGGTTTGCAAGTTAGAGTTCTCTACTTAGCAATCACCTCCTTGCTCTGGACCCGCTGGGTGCCAGAGTCCAGCTTCCTGACTCCTAACTGCCTCCGTAGGTAGCCCAGACCAGCCCCTCCCGTCCGGTGCAGTCCTGACAGGGGGCTCTGGGGCGTTCAAGATGCTTCCCACTACTGTCTCTTCTCTTCAGAGCCCCACGTCTCCTGCCATGATTCTGCACCCACTTCACACAGGTCCCTGTCGCGGTGGGCTTGTAAGTCAGTGGGGGAGCTAGACTGTCTCTTGAGGGTCTTATCCCACTGCACTTGCTGGCCAGGCGGGCGCAGCCTTCCCACGCTCCACTCTCTATTGTCTGTCTCGCACTTTCCACGTTTCACGTTCCTATCTCCCGTTCACATTTTTTTTCCTGTTTTGTGTGTCCCACGCTGAATCTCCACCGATTCACCTCACTGTTTTTGTGGGAGAGCAATCCATTCAGGTGTAGCAGACCGAGATCTATGCCTCTTTCTCTGGGAGCAGGAATCTGGGAGGTTACTTAAACTCCCCCATTTTTTCCTCCTCCTCTGCTATCTCTTAGACTGATGGCTGTGTACTGGGTAACAAACGTTTTCTATGAAAAGCCATATAGTAAAATCTTTAGGGTCTGCAGCCAGATGAAATCTCCTATAGCTTGTCAACTTCACAGTTGCACCATAACACAGACATTGACAATGCATAAATGAGTAGTCATACCTTTGTTTCAATAAAACTTTATTTAAAAATGCAGGTGGTGGGTGTGTTAGTATTGTCCCCCAGGCAGTAATTTGCTAATATCTTGAGTTGGACATAAATCTGATGGGAAATTTTCCTGAGGACTTTGAATGACCCAGGAAATTAGTACTTCAGATGATAAAAAGTCATGCAGCTTCATCCAGACATTTTTCCTCGTATCAGGTGGTCTTCTGTGTTCTAATAGTGAGCTTTTTGTGTGATGGCACAAATGACCATTTGTTTGGGCACTGCTTCAGAGTCGGGAAGAATGCAAAGTTTTTAGCATTTCTTTGTTTCATCTATTAAATTTCACCTGCACAGTATAGATTATGGGGCATTTTTCTGAATTGTCTTTATTGGTGGCAGTAATTTTTGTGTTGTATGTTGGAGTCTCAACTGAAGGCATTGCCCCAAATGAAATGATTACGAAGAAAGAGGCAGAAAAATGTCCTGAGACATGGTCATTCCTGCCAGGTGTCCTCTGTCCTCTGACCTCTGGATTGGGTCCTCTTGGACCTCCCTCACATCCGTCTCTACCATGTACTTTAAGACCAGCTCAATGCATTCACCTTAACAACAATCTAAAGTCTGTAAAAAAAAAATCAAGAACACCCAAGGTGTTCGTGGTCATCACTCCAGATCTTCCTTGTTTTTTCTTGACTTACTCCTGCTTTGGTAAAGACATTCATATGCTTTCAAATCCATACTTCATCTATCCCCTCTGTGGCCCTAGTTTGGATTAAAACAATTAGCTTTCTTCTGCTGCATAGATGGCCTTGGATCATTTGTCTGTAAGACCTGTTTTTGAAGCCCCTTGTTCCGCACATGGCCACATCCTGCTTGCATATCAGATTACAACACCATCTGCTAGATGGTGCTATTTATATGACATGTGGGGTTACAGTAGTCCTGAGGGCACCCACTGTCCTTAGCAGAAGAAACACTGCTGAACAGAGAGTTTAACAGGCTCTTCACTGCACCAGAATTTCAGTACACTACCACAATTTTCAAGACTGTAATGCTTTCATGATACTATCAACTTGTTTTCATCCATGAAAAATGCAGAAAGCATGAGTAAACATGAATCACTGAGGTAAAATAGCCTAGTCATAGTTAATAGGACAGCTACTGTGAAACTCCTTTATATACATTTGAGGAAGAATTTACATGTTCATATTACTTTTCTGATCTGGCAAGCCCCAAGTTTGTCAACTAATAAGTGGGTGAATCCTTCAGGTACTATTTAACCCAATAGTGATTTCATAGCACACATTTCCCCATCCAGGTGATGCAGTCAAGTACTGCTAACAATAGGTGATTCTGCCAAGACCTCCTGCCACTCCACTCAGTGTGTAGGAAAGGAGGGAGACGTGGCCAGGTGGCTCACTGTGCTTCTCTTTTACTTGAGAGTCATTCAAGGCAATTTATGTCTCTAATGACCCATGTGTGAGACTGCTGGATAAGAAGGTTCTAATGTTGGACA